AATATAAATAAGAAAAATCTAAATAATATAAACATAAAAAACATAAAATAAGAAGAATATAATAATATATAGATAATAAGAAGAATACAATGATATAAATAATATAAACAGAGAAATAAATATATAAAAATACGATAGATAAAAATACGATAGATAAAAGAATATGAATAATAAAAATAAATAAATATGAATAATCAAATAATCTATTTCATTAATATTTCATACAAAATGAATACAAATGATTATAAAATATAAACATAAATATTTACATATTCTGTATTTATCATATTTTTTATTTTTATTTTAGGAGCAAAATATAATAAATGGAAAATTCTATGGATGCAAATTACTTTGCATCTTTTTTCTTTTTTGTAAATTATTTAGATGCATTTTTTCTTTGCTAATTTTCGTGCTCGTTTTGTATTTCAATCATTTCTTTTCTTTGATTTCTATTTTGTTTCTTATTTTGATATTGTTTGTACCTTCTTTGAGTGTTATTATGGTATTTATTTCTATTATATTGATATTGTTTATTTCTATTGAAATTATTATTAAAGTGGTTATGACGATGATTATGAATGAAGTGATGAGTGAAATGATTTGTATCAACTATGTTGTGATAGTTATGGTTATAATTATTATTGTAATGATTATTGTGATTGTTCATGTATCTCTGTCAATACAGATAATACCTATTTTCACTCATTCTTCTATCATTTATATTTCTTGGTTGATATGAATTTCTTCTTCTTTGGTTATTTGTTTTTCTATATTTTTTGTGGTGTCTCTGACATGCTATCTTTTTTTTATAAATGAAATTATTGAAAAGAAAAAAGAAAAAGAAGTAGTAATAGAAATAAAGAAATTAATGACAAATACATCAAAAAATGGAAGTGTCATCAAATTAGTGGATATTTTAGAAGATGGTTCATGTCAAAAGGAGTAGATAAAACTACTACAGTGAAAGCATTGAAGTCCATCAATATTAAAAAGAATGCATTTCTCCAATTAACTAAAATGCAAGATGGAGCAATATTTTGTGGGTATAGAAAATCAAAAATAATGAAAAATGAAAGATTAAAATACTCCACACTTTGTAAAGACAAGATAGCTACAGTAGAACACATTCTACTATCTTGTATTGGTCGTAAAAATCACATATGGAAAAACATGACAATATTGGCATTATAATATTGATTAATAAGAAAATATACAGGAAATAATCAATATAAAAACCACCATATGAAACAATGTTACAATATAAAGACATCACAATGATATGGAACAAACAAATAATGCATAAAAGTGATGGACAATATCACAAAATACCAGATATATATGTATTAGATAAAAAGAATAAAACTTGTCTATTATTTGATATGACTATTGTTGCTGATCACAATATTAATGGAGAATATTGGAAGAAAAGAAATATGTATAAAGAATTAAAGAATATGCTAATGAAAATAGAAAAGTTAAAAGATGTCAAAATAAATGGAGTAGTAATCTCAATAAATGGATTAATAAATAAAGAAAGTAATAAATTAATTAAATAATTAAAAATTGAAATTGACATCGAGAAAGAAGTTAAAAACCTTGTAATAAAAAACATGATGGATGTTATTAAGCATATTGAAATCACTATCAAACATACTCAGTAGAAATTTTAGATGAAGACTTGGTGAGTGGATTAGTCTCCTTGAGTTATTAACAATAGAAGCTATTTCTATTAATACTTAATTAATTGCTTTATTATTTATTTACTTTTTCATTAAATAATTTATTTCTTTTTGAAATAAATTAAAAATTATAACTTTAAAAGCTTAAAATATTAACTTATTCAGCTTTTGGAGCTTTCTTAGCAATTTCAACGACATGAATATCCTTTGGAATAGCCTTCTTGAGTTCTTCAGCTTTGGCTTTATCAGCACAAATGTAAGTATAAAGATATTTAGCACATCTAACCTTGAATTTGGTGTTTTCACCGTTGGTTTTGACACGAACGGCACGGATAGAGCCGGATTTCAAAAGTTTTAAAATTTGTTTGAATTCTTGAACTTGTTTTGGCTAAAAGTTGTTAGTCATATCGTTCACTTATTTTATATTACTTTAAATGAATTTATAAAAGATGTATAATAACAAACCATCCTACTCTTTTCAAATTTAGTTCTCTCATAGGGTTTTTATTTTTTCATTATTTTCTTTTTAATAAATTAAAAGTAATAAATTATTTTATTATAGATATTATTATAAACTTTTTCTTTTATTTTTTTCCTTTTTTGAAAATATTAAAAGGAAAATTTATTTAAAAATTATAAAATAAAATCTTAGGTAAAATTTATGGAAAAGAAGTGAAATTACAATAGAGAAAAGATAGGACTGGAATTACACTGTCCTGATGAAAATGAAGCACTTATTGATTCAGAAACTGAAGTGGGTTGATTTTTAATTGTTGTTGGTGGATGAATTTGTAAAGTACGTTTTGTTTGTTGAGAATTTAACAGGTTTTTAGAAGAAGTAGAAGAAAGTAATTGATTGTCTGTGTAAGGTGTTGTTGGTATTAATGGATGGCTATAGTGATGGGTTTCAGCAAATCCCATTGTAAATGAAAGTTTTATTGGAATTGAAGTTATTTCAGGAGTAGAATTAGCTTTTTTATAATGGGGAGGTATTGATGGAACAGATTTTGAAGGTACACTTAATAATGTGTGGGTTGTTGTTTTAGAAGAATATGAACGAACAATTGACATATAAAACAATGGTTTTAAATTGAAATTTAGTTCATTTAATAAAAGAAAAATAAAAGAAAAAATAAGTTGAAGTAAAAATTGTTTTATTTAAAAAATGGATGAAGTAAACAATTTTCAATACTAATTCTTTGATTCACATCAACTACTAACATCCTTTTTATTAGGTCTATTAATAATGGGTTTCTATTATTCCAATCTTCTTTAAATATTATTTCTCCTTTTAAAATACTTTCTATATATTGGTTATTAGTTCTTGAAAATGGTGGATAACCACATACCATTACAAATAATAAAACCCCAGAACTCCAAACATCAACTTTACTTCCATCATAAGGTGTTCCATTATATAATTTTTTTAATATTTCAGGTGCAATGAATAAATCACTACCACAAACAGTAGATGCTAAATGGGAAGTAGTGTCTATTCTTCTACTTAGTCCAAAGTCAGTTATTTTAATAAAATAATCTAATTTATTAACAAATAAAATATTTTCTGGTTTAATATCTCTGTGAATAATATTATGTACTTTAATATATTTTAAAGCAGAAAGAATTTGATAAATAACAACTTTACTATGTTCTTGAGAAAATGTATTATTGATAATTCTTTCATAAAGGTCTCCACCATTTAATCTTTCCATAATAAGAAATATATGTTTATTAGTGATATAAACTTTTTCAAGTTTGATAATATTTGGATGTTCTAATGATTGCATGATATTAATTTCATTTTGAAACATTGTTGTTTTTTTAACAGAACTATTTTTGATTATTTTTATTGCATAGAGATTGTTTGATTCTTTTGAAATTGCTTCTCTAACTATTGAAAATCCACCACTTCCTAAATAATTTCCAATTTCATAATCATACTGAGGTCCTCCATTTTGTTTATCATCTTCTTCAACTTCATTTTCAATGAAACAATAATGAATAGAGTTTTCTTTTTTAGGGTGGAATAAACTTATTTCATCATAGCAATGGATTTGAGTCTCATCAAATAAATCTCCATTAACATATGAGCCATTTGAACTAAAATCTCTTGCAGTAATTATTGATATGCCATCAATAATTCTTCTTTGAATTTGAAGATGAGTTGCACTAATATATGAATTAAATGAGAAACATTTTTGATAATTTCTTCCAAGTAAAGTCTAGCAATTATTATTTGCTCAATAAATAGAATAAACATAACAAACAAATGAATCAAATAGTAGAATATCTTCATATCCAATTGTTTCTGACTTTAGACATCCCCATGGGTAAGTCATTATTATCTTCTTCTTAATGAAATTATTTAATTTAGATTTACAAACTAAGAAACAAGCTTCTAGTTTATTTTTAAATTTTTATTCATGTTAATATTTCTTTGTCAAAACAGTTATTTTTATATTACATTCTATGTTTCTATTCTATTGTTGATTAATGATATGTTGTGATTGTTTAATAGCTAGAATAACAGCTTTAAAAAGTTTTAACAGAACAATAAACAAAAGAATGGATAGAGATAAAAGAAGATAAAAATAGAAAAGAAAAAAGAAAAAACATAAATTCAAAAAAACCCTAAAAATGTACTTTAAAAAAAATTAAAGAGGTTTTAAAGGAATGAAGTGTCATATAACTCAATTTGGAAGGATTGTGCCATCAGGAATTGAGAGACTTTGTTATTCACCTGACAACAAATACTTAGCGTGTACACGAGAAGATGGGATAGTTGAAATTTATTTATCTAAAACCAAATCATTATTACATCAACTTCCAATATTTCCTTCAAAACACTCATGTTGTGCAGCTTGTTGGAGTGACACAACATTGTTTGTTGGAGGAACAACAAAACAAGTATTTGGAATAAACCCAGAAACTGGGATGATAAAAACAAGTATTAACGTATCATCAAATGTAACATGTTTAGCATATTCAGAGTCATTATTTATTGGTACAGACAAAGAGTTTATTGAATTTTATTCACCATCACAAGACGATCCCGATTCTCTTTGGCTTATGGGAAGACTTAATCATTCAAAAGGAAAAACAACGTGTATTAATATCAAAGGTGAACTTGTTTTTGCTGGAACCTCTGAAGGAGTTATCTTTGGTTGGATTAAAAAACAAAAAAAATTTGAATTAATATTTGCTGTTTATGCTACTGACAGATTGAGAGAAGTTAAATACAATAAGTCAAGAGATGAAATAGCACAACCACTTGATGAAATTAGAAGACTTGAAGAAGAGAAAATTCCAGAAAATGAAAGAAAAACAAAAAGTACAGCAATCATGGCAATTGAAATTATGGATCAACGTACTGTTGCTGTTGGACTCGTTTATGGAAAGATACAAATATGGGATATTGTTACTATGACAATTATTGCAGAGTTTAGAGAACATCAAGCAGATGTATTATGTCTAAAAAGTGCTACATTAAATGGAGAAGCTGTATTATTTGGATCAGGTGTAGATCATAAAATTGTATTATTAAAAGAAGTTAATGGAAAGTGGACATGTTGTGGAAGAGTAAGACAACACTCACATACGGTAAAATCACTTGATATATCAAATGAAGGAATATTAGTAAGTGGAGGAGTAGATACAATTATTTTATTTAGGTCAATAAATGATATGAATCAATTAACATATAGAATCTTTCCTATTGGAGTTGACTCACCAAAAGCTAAAGTATGTAGTACTGCTGATATGGTTGTTGTTCATGAAGTAGATAATAACTTTAATTTTTATCAATTGGCAATACCATCAACTGAATGTGAAAAAGGAAAATATGAAATTGATAGAGAATATTCATGCTATTTTACTATGAAATTATCTAAAAAACATCAAATTACTACATTTGATTTAAATTCACAATGTTCAATACTTGTTGTAGGAACAAAAGACTTAATACGAATATTTGGAATAGACAAGAAAACAGCTCCATGGAATATTATTAAAGAAGACATTAATGTTAATGGTGTTGTTAAAAAAGTCTATGTTAATAATAATTGCCTTATTACAATTATGACTGATGGTACAATAATTACTTCAGAAATTAATTTTGATGGAAAAGAATTAACAATTAAAGAAGAAAAGAGAGGTATCTTTTCACCAATGTACTCAATTTATAATGAAGAAATGAATATAATAGGATTAACTGAATTAAAAAATGGACAATGCCAATTAGTATTAATTGATTTAAATACAATGGAAAGTAAATCAATAAAATTAATTGGTGAATTTATTCCTAAAAAAGTAACAAAAAAAGATAAAATGATATATGTTACTGGAATAAAAGGAGAGTTTATTTGTTATAATTATGATAATTATACTGTTGACCCACGTACAACTGGTATTAAAAAAATTACTTCCCAAAATGAAATTGGTAGTGAAAGAATATACTTTGACCCATTATGTGAAGATAACTTTGTTGTGTTATCTCGTGAAACAATTACTTATGAAAATATTCATTCCAAAATTCATAAAGGTCAGTTTACTTGGTCTAAATTAAATAATTTACCAAGAACACTTGAAACTATTTCTCAATTCCCTTCAAAAATTAGTAAAAAATACGGAATAATTGTTGGAGGTGGATTTAATTTAAAAGGTGATTTAATTGTAGTTACACAACAATGGCTATCAATATTACAATCACTCCCAGAACCATTTAGATTCTACAATAAGATGAATAAATTAGTTAAAGTGAATTGATTTTTTTTTTTGTTTGGTTAGAAAACAATTTTAAAGGAAGGGAAATATTAAAACTTAAAACTAATTAAAAGTAAAATGCAACAAACAGAAAAAGCTCTTCAATTTCTTCAGTCACTTATTCAAGAACAAGACGATAGTTCAACTCAGCCTGAAGAAAATGGTCAATGGTTAACAGTAATTATCATGGTTGTACTTACACTAGTATTAATTATTTTAATTATCATTGGACTAGCGATTGTTTTGATTATGAGAAGTAGAACATTTAAGAGACGGGGGTATGACTTATTTAACCCAAAATATGAATTAACCAAATAATAAAAATTAATAAGCAAAGTTATTTCTTTCTTCTCCTCCTTTTATTTTACTTTTTCTTTATATACTTTTTTAAATAAAATTATTTCTTATTGAAAAAGAATTATTAAATTTAATTGCATTCTAATGAACGTTCTGCACATGCACGAACAAGTTTGTTATATTCTTTTCTATTACTTGTATAAAGTGCAGATGCTTGTGGGTTAGCAGGACTATTTGGGTTTGGGTCTGTTAATAAACTCTAATACTATTAATAATATAATTACGTATTTTTTAATGAATAATTCAACAAAACTTGAATAGCTAATAAAATAGTAGACACAGAATAAACACTTGACCATTTATCTTGTAAAATATCTAAACAAATTCTTCCATCTTTGAACACTACATTTTAAGTAATTATTCTTATTTTATTGTTTATTACTTTATTATGTCATATTAAAATTACCAAACCATTTGGATGAAACATCTCAGATATAAACTTTACATGGGGAGGTTTAATTGGGTATTCATCTGAAAATGTTAATCTTAATTCAAACAACCCCCCTTCAAATGGTGAGTTTTCTGGTCCTGCAATAGTCGCTTGCCAAAAATATAAATTGCTTTCATCAATTGGTCCACTTGAAATACCCTACGACATTATTAATTTTATTTATTCCTTAAATCCATTTCTCTTTCTTTAAACAAACAACTGGTGGATCTGTAAGCATAGTCTTAAGATCAGCTGTCAGTCTCATTAATGCAATAGACCCACTACTACTCATCTTATCTGATTTTAGTTTGCTTTCTCTTAAATTTTTTCACTTTCTTCTTTTTTCTTCTTTTATATTTTTAAATTGCTTTGTATAACAGAAAAATAACAATTGAATTATTAATCATCTTCTTCTTCCTTTTCTTCTTTACCTTCAGCTTCTTCTTTGTCTTTTTCAGCTAATTTTTTAAGAAGAGAGTCATCAAGGTATTTTGTTGATTCCATTCTTTTAACATCAATGACATGATCTCCTTTAATCACACATCCCCACCAACATCCTTCTCCATCACCTTTTGTATCCATACCCTTAGAAAGAATGACTTCAATTATTTTTCCATCCCTAGTCCATGTAGAATCATCTACATTAATAGCATGTTCTAATTCTCCTCCAATATAAACTTCTCCTTTAATAATCATTTCAAATTTATTTGTTTTCATTATTATTTGAATATCTGTTTTTGTTTTTAAGTTTTCATCAGGTAATTCTATTGTTAATGTTACATCTTCAGGTGTCTGAGTCCATTTATACTTCTTTTCGGTATATCCATATTTAACATAAGGAGATGGTTTCCATCCAGCCATAACGCAACGATTTTGTTTTTTTGTCTAAGTTCTATCTTTAAATATTATCTTTCAACGAATGAATGACGTGGACTGACATGGTGATGATCATCCTTTTTCTTTTTAGATTTTTTAGTACCAACTTGTTCATTTGTGATTGAGATTATTAATACGAAACAACATTTAATCTTTCTTCATTCTTTTTGTTCTTTAAAAAAAATTATAAGAGTAATGCAAACCATTTAAATAACAAAAATATTTAATTATTTTTTTGTGCTTTAGATTGTTTTTTAGATTCAATCATCTCTTCCCTCTTTTTGTATTCTTCTTCTTTTTGTTTTTCAAGCTCTGGTGTTTTGTATTGAATATATCCATCTTTGTGGATGAACGTTTTATCTGGATGTTCGTTATAAAAGTCTTGGACACGATGATAAATATGGGTGAAGAAATATAAAAGATCATCACATTCTCCATTATATTTACCATTCATACAAGTATAATAATCTCTATAAAAATAATAGATAGCCTCAATAGTTGATAAGTTAGTATTACTTATATTTTGGTATCTCCAAAACAAAGTCTCCTCTGCACAAATAATTGCTTTTGGCAAATTCTTAATGTTTGGATGATTTAATACAGCATTGGCTTTATACCATACACTCTCAATACATACCATTCTTTTATATTTCTTAAGATCATCAAAATCGCTGAGTCGTTTTGCGTCTGGAGATGGGAATAATAGTATTGTTTCATTTGGGTCATATTGTGGGATTTCATTAGGAAATTCAATCCACCTAGTATCATCTTTTGCAACAATACAAGCAGTTAGTGCAGTTGATTTGGCAACTTTTTCTGTAGGATGATGAATAATATCTAATTTGATTGGAAGATTAACTTGGGGTAATTCTGGAATAAGTCCTCTTCTACAATAATAACAATAATATTTCATTTTCTTATGGCACAATGGACAAGTAACTCTTCCCCCTTTGTCTGCTTTTTCAAGTGGTTCTTTTGATGACAATTTTAACTTGTTGAAAAACTCAGCTGCCATAGAGAATAAACGATCTTCATTTTTTTTTGGCTTTTTGACTCAAAAGGGTTTTTTAATTTTTTTGTTATTGGTATAACACAAAAATAGCAATAACAATTATTAACTATGTTTAATAACTTCATTAAAAATTTTATTGAACAAGATTGATTTTCTTCAGCGATAAGATATTATCCATACCAACAGCATAAATAGAGAGTAATATCGATTATTTTATACATGAATAACAAAACTCATTTGTTGTGAATTAGTTAAACCTATTTATTTGTTTGATAAGAAACTTATTATTTTAATCACTTGTAAATAAGATATAAGTAAAATCATTCAAAATAATCGAATTATTTATTTCATTCATTTATTACTAATAAAATCAAAAACTTGAATATTTGATAAATACAACACCACAAAGTGATGAAATAATAATGAATGATATAAGAGATAGAAGAAAAATAAGAAAACAATAGAAGATACAAGAATGAAAGAAATAAGAAAGAAGAAGATATAATAGAGATAAAGAAGAAACAAAATGAGAATATTATATAATAGAAATACAAGAAGAAAGAAGAGAAAAAAATGAGAGAAGAGGAATAAAGAAAAAAGAAAGATGGAAGAGTTATAATGATAAAGATGTATAGAATTAAATTAAATATTTACATAATAAAACAATGATAAAAGAAGAAAAGAATGAAACAGAAAATCAAAATGATGAAAGAAAAGAGGAAAGAAAAAGATGAGAAACAATGATAAAGATAGAATAATGGAGAACTAAGAAGAAACAGACAAGAAAAAAGAAATGATATGAAAAACAACAAGAAAGGATGAAGAAAATAGAAGATAAAAACAAGAAAATACAAATAAAAGTAGAAAAGAATAGGTACAAAAGAAATCAAAGAAGAGAAAGACAAGTAATCCAATACAAACAGAAAATGATAATAATATAAATAAGAAACAATGACAAATAAAAGAAGAAGATATAAATATGATAATACAACAATAAAGAAGAAAGAAATCAAGAAGAGAAGAAAAACAGTACAAAACAAGATTGAAAAAAATAAATAAAGAAGAAGATTCCAGTATTAACAATAAAAATAATGAAAATATAATTCATAAAGATAAAATGGGTGCACAAGAAGAAGTTTAAGAAGAAATGTTTAACCCGAACCAAATAAAAAACATAGAAGATATTCAAATAGAATGATAGAAAGAGAAAAGAAAAAAGTAAGAGCAATGAATCCTAAAGGATGAGAATGAAGAAGAAAATGATATAAAATCAAATAAAAAATTAAACCGAATTATAATAGTTGAATAATAATAAATGAAATAACAATAACAAAATAATAAATATACATTATATAATATTCAACAATAAATAAAATAAGAATAAGCAAATCGAATAAACTTA